CTTGCCGGCACTCACAAGAGGACTGTATCCAAAAAAACACCCTATCTGGCTCAGATAGGCTCGATTTGTCGTGAAAATGCCTTGCCGGCACTCACAAGAGCACTGTAGCGGCTCCGTAGTCGAAAAAAACACCCCATCTGGCTCAGATAGGGTGTTTTTGTTTGGGACCCACAGATAGCAGTTATTTCGCTTTGGCACACCAAAACACCTGTATCTGAGCCGGATAGGCTCCTTTTGTTGGTGGCACCTTTAGGCATCCTGAAGCTGTTCTACTCTTAGCCGCCAGCCCAAACCCATTAATTTCGAATTTGAAATTAAATAGCGACCGCTGCGGAAATTAGCCGCGACGTCACCTGCCTAATTTGGGGTTGAAATTAATAGAATTTGTGCAGTATCTAACTATCTAGATATCTCGCTATCTAGCTATCTATCTTTCGAACTATCCATCCATCCATCCATCCATCCATCCATCTATCTGTGTGTACACACACACAGATATCGCCTTGACCATTATAAGAAATCCATCCATCTATCTATCTGTGTGTACACATACACACAGATATCGCCTTAACCATGATAAGAAAGCCACAAATTGAACGGAGGTTGACGACTTCTTTATCCGACTGATCCAGCGCGTCGCCCCTAAGAGCTATGCCCAAGCAGGAGGTGAAATCAAGGCGGGACAGTCTGGTTTGGGGCATTTGGCTTCTGGGGGAAAGACCGTTCGCTTATTTCCGCTGGCTGAAACACTGAGACACTTTGCGATAAGAGAGCTTTAGACTGAGGGAATCCGGGACATTGGAGACCTTCCAGAAAGGGCACTACTGAGTTTTGTTAGACGGCCCAGCCCGTTGTCTTGAGGCACAATGCGATGCCCTCTTTTGCGTTCCTTGCGATGGTGGCATGAGTCCTTGAGCAAGAGCCCAGAGCAAGGCCCAAACAGCTAACTACAGTAGCGGTGACTAGCGCCCATGCAGACCCCAACTGTGCAAGCCTGTCTTCACCGGGAGAGTTTGGGGTTAAGGGTCTCATGGCTTAGATTAGGACAGTAATTAGGACGGAAAGTGCAGGGCAGGCAACGGCAGGCAGCCGAAATGTCTCCAGGCTTTGCTGTTGCGGAGGCTGAGGTGTCTATGTGTTTGGTGAATACGTGTGACTGAATGATTTCGATTCATTTGTTCAGGATTTGTCCATGCGGACTACAGCGGGATGTCTGCGCATCACATGATGTCAGGCAGTCAGGACCTGGCTCCAAGACTTCAGCGGCAACAACGTCCGTGTCGTGGCGCTTTGTGTCCATTCTTCTTGTTATAGGGTGCCGTAACCCGCAAAAAATACCGATGTCGCACTGCAGGCGGTTTCGGAGTCGGCTAAATAGACTTTACTCCGATGCTCCGTTGCGGCGCTGTAATGTCGAGTTTTGAGACACGTGCTACCCAGTTTGAGACCCTCTCTCAAAGCTTCCTTCATCGGGATGTAAGGCATGCTGGCGGAGTCACAAGGCTTGCCTGGGGATCATGTCGGACAGTCTACGGTGGGCTACCGCATGCCGCTTCTTGGCCGCCTTTCCAGCCATGCAAGGTTCGAGGTGTGGAGTTTAGGTGCTTCAGGCGCCGGACTGGGAAATTGAGCTGTTTGTATTTACTTCGGCATCAGTATCCCATCTCCAAACGACCACATGCAGCTCTAGAGAGGCCCTGCCAGCATGACGCCATAAGAAGCTAAGTCCCAAACCCTAAACCGCTCAGGTTCGGTGGCGTCAGTGCCATGACCTCAGACTGTCAGTCAGATCGATGGAGAACTGCAGCGAAGGCTGGTCAAAATTTCCATGCCTTTCACATCATATTCCTTGTTCAGTACCTCGCATTCCCACGGGGTAAGCAAGGTCATTACTCCTTTCAACTTCCCGCTTGAGATCTGTGGCATCCAGTCTCTTTCTGCTGCTCCATGGTCGCAAGGCCGTGCTCCACAGAGAGAGACTCTCTGAGCACGTACACACCCACCCATACCTTCTTGAGCCTGCAGTGCTATCCGATCGAGCCATAAGTGCGTCATAGAATTCAAAGTGCTATGGCGAACAGCTCCGGCATGGCTAAGCTGAGGTTTTCATGGGCAACCAGTGCACGACGCCTCTTGGCCTACGTTTTGCAGGCCGGTTTCAGGAGAATCACGCTGCAAGACCTCAAAGTGCCCCGAAAAGTCCCAGTATTCGTCTCACCTGAATGGCCTACAAAGCCACAACTGCCCAAAAACAAGCGCGAGGAAACTTGTTTTGGCCCAAGGTTTGGAGAACATCCTTGGGAGAACCCTCATCTGTTGCGAAGCGGTAGTTGTTTCCATTTCTGCGTATGCGTGAAAATACCTGCAGAGAGAGAGAGAGATAGATAGATATATATATATATATATTATATATATATATATATAATTAAGAGGAAACTGGTGGCTCGAGCCTTTGTCCTCGATTTGCCTTTTTTCCAAACCCTTAAACCCTAAACCCTAGACCCTTTTAGTGGTAGTTAGTTATTGTTGGGTAGAGGGCTGCCCGCAGGAGTCTCATAAAGCTCGTCTCAGCATTCGACTCATATTCGCATCGACAGCAGTAGCCAGCTGCAGCAGGTGATATGATTCATAATGTCTTGCAACATGTAAGTACTCACATCGAGGCATCGAGGCATTCATATTTACCAAATATTATTCCCTAGCCTTCCTGTATTCTACAGTATAATACAATATACCCCGGGACCTTATTATGTTGGCTAGCAGAGCCATGTGAGTGATCTGAGCCTTTCTTTGTGGCAGCCTTCAGTGGCAAATATGATGTCTGGGCCCACCTTCTGATACGACCGGACTCTAACACCCTAGCACCCAGAACATCTTGGAACCAGAAAGCCATAAGCCATATAAGCCATGTCTTGCGGCGTGGTGGCATGAAACCAGGAAAGTCGACTGGAAAGTTGCCATCGTCATGGAGCAGTTTCTTCGGATGCTGCATTCTGTTGGGCTTCCCAAGTCTGATGCCTCCAGGCTAAAGCTTGCATGTCGGGAGCTTGCGAGCAAGTCAGAGATCCCGTTGTTTTTGGGTCGTTCAGGGTTTGTACTTCGTTGAAACCCTCACATATCGCACGATTTGCTTGTGGAGGATGCCAGCGCAGAGGACCAGGTTTCCCGACTTGGGAGTGCACCGAAACGCCCGAACGCCCCAATGTAAAGTCATGTAGAGTATTGCAGTCTGAGTATGTCTGAGTACTTATTCGTACCAACATTATGCAGCATACTGCATCCCGCTATGCCCTGTTCTACTAGTCGTTCTTAAGGCCCTTATACTAGAGCACCGAGATCGATTTCATCTACTGCGACGGGCCTGTCTTCAATGAAGTCCTTCTTCGCATCCCGGCCCCGGCTTACAGGAGGGGACGGAGGTCTTGGAGTTTATAGTAGTACTTAAAGGATCATGGGACTTAGTAAGTAGGGTTATAATTTTGGTAACTATACTTATAACCCCAATTAAGGGACTTATAACCTTACTAACTAAGTCCCATGATCCTCCAAGTATTCGGGCTGGAGGGAATGTTTATGACGTACGCTCGACGGCTTAACGATTGAAGGATTCTGGCTGACACCCTCCGACCTCAATGGTGTAGATTCGGGTACTCAGACACGCCAAGTCCTGCCCACCCCATATAAGTTCAATGGACCATTTAACCAGTGATTGTTCAGAGCTTGGGGTCTGATGTGAGGGCTTAGGGCTTCGGCCACATTCCACGGCAGGGATAGCTCGAAGCTGCACTCGCAAACCTGACCCCTTGCCCCACTCGCATCAAATCCTGTACATGATATGTTAATGTACATGATATGTTAATGCGCGCTGTATTTTTGCTTGAGTTATGTTGCGCTATATACGTTGCATTGTGTTATCGTGTCTTATGTTATCGTATCTGGCGTTCTGGAAAAGGCGACTCCACATATGTATGTATATATATATATATACATTGTGTGTATGTACATATGTGTATATATATATATATGTATATTATTTGAAGTCACACACACATACATACACAATACATACCTACATACCTACATACTTATATACATACACATACATACATACATACATACATACATACATACATACATACCTACATACATACATACATACATACATACATACATACATAGACATGCGAACATGCATGCAGTTTCATAAATGTATACATATGCATAGGAATAAACATATACATATACATACATATATATATATATATACATACATGTAAGCATGCATACACATACACTCATACACACATATATTCATATATATATATATATATGTATATGTATATGTACTCGCCTGTGGTACAACACCGACTCCCTAGTAAACCCCTTCTCATCCAGGTGGAGATGCCAAGATGACACTCTTCACCGGATCCCAGCGGGTAGCTGACAAGCTGGCTGTGGATCTCAAGGGCAAGGCGGATTTGTTGGGTTTTAGATTTTCGGGATGCGGATTTGTTGGGTTTTGAGATTTTCGGGTGTTTGGGACTCATAACTATTCTAAGATCAGACTTTGAGGCTTTGGGGCTCATGATTTGGAGTATAGTGTTCGCAGGTTTGGCTTTAGCACGCACATCTCGAAGCTGGGTATTCATGGTGTGCTGGGGAGGAGAGTGGCGAGGTCGAAAGCTTTTCTGTAGCGGAGTGTCTGCCGTTTCGATCTCGCACACTGCCAAACACGGTACCGGACGCCAGAGATAGTCGAAACTGGACTGAGTTGCTAGAGTTGTTTCGGGCTTGCGCCTGACATGGTTCTGGCGCTTACATTGTTGTGCTACTCGCTTCCGTTGGCTTCGTCTGCTCAGAGCAAGTCATATAAAACCTCAACCATAAACCCTAAACCGTAAGGACGTAGCTGCTCTCACAGGTCAAGTTGGAAGACGCGGGTTTCGACTGGAAGATTCTGGGCCCCGTGCCTTGGATGCATTTGGGCAAGTACCCATAGGCCCCATGGTAGTTGCTTTTTGGGATCACCTATAGGATTCTAAATATGAACCCCCAAAAGGAACTACTTTAGGGCCAATGGGTAGAGCTTGGGAGCCCCCACGGGAGGGCATGCGACGTGACCTTAGTTGCATAACACAGGAGTGCAGAAACCTTGACCGTTTATGAAGCTGGAACAGGTTTCGGGAGCTTGGCCGAAGAGCGAAATGCTCCCGTACACCTGTAGCTGAGCTTGGGGCGGAAGCCTCGCAAGGATGTGATGGATGTGGACTACGTGGCAACTTGATCAGTTTTGCCTTTCTGGGGCTGGGTGTGCCCGGGTGTGCTCAGATTTCAGATCTTATAACAATTGCTGTGTCATTCCTGTCGTGCTCCGGGCAATGTTTCGAAAGAAGTCACATCCACCTCCAGGCTACTCCAGGCAACCTATTGTTGCTGCATGCGGGATGGTCTCCAGATCGATGTCTGCTGTCGTCGTGCAAGCATGCCCACGGCGGTGCAAAGCTGATGCCTTTCAATGCCTGTTCATACGTAGACCGGAGTATAACTCGGATGGGCACTGGTGGCGTGGCGGTTGTAGTGGTGCATTTGGCTGCCATCGCCCTAAGGCATGGCAAGCGGATCACGATGCCTACGGCTTTGCGGGTCAGAAATGCTCAGCTCAGTCCATGCTCTTTATGCATGAGCTTCCCTGCAGCATTGGGTGACACGCGAGTATGCTCACACAGAATCAGAAAGCCACATGCGAACATACATCGACTGGTCGATAATGCATATTATAGTCATATATATATATATATGTA